AACGTCATCCACCAAAAGGTCCAAAATATTGCGGCGTGTAGGAATCGTCAACAGAGGATTTGCAGAATGGGTCGTTAATGCAGCGTCACCTCCGAGAGCTGCATGGTCTAGTTTCCCGAGGTTGAGGGCCCAGGTCGTGCAGGGGACCTGGATCGAGAAATCATCGGCGAGAGAGATCGGCGGCCTTGGGGTGATGGCGACCGGCTGAACCTTCGGCCCTGAACGTTAGTAGGAGCAGGCTGTGGATCGTATGGAGTAGAAAAGCGGCGAGAACTGCCTTCAAAGCGACGCCATGTCCCAGTGTTCCAAGATGAATTGAATGACCGACGATTGCGACAGTAGCGTGCAATGTGGCCGGCGCGAGAGCAGTGAAAGCAGATTGGTCTATCATCCGACGTTCTCCATTCAGCAGGGTTCCGGTAGCGGGAAGGGTAGCGTGAAGGGTACACCGGAATCTGGTTAACAGAAGCCGAGCTCTCGGTGGTGCGAACAGCGCAAACAGGTGTGATGCCGAGATTTGCTATTTCTTGGCGAACGACGGCTTGGATGAGGGAGACGGTGGATGCGTTGTCTTGAGGACCGTCAGAGGCGATGGCTGCAGGAGCCATTGCTTCGAGTTCGTGACGAACGATTCGGGTGACATTTTCGGACGATGTAGCTTGCGTGAACTTGAGGCTGTCTTCACAGGTCGAAGTGGCTGCAGTATTAGGCAGACGCGCAAACTGGCGGGTTATGCGACGGTTCTTGGCGTGCTCGAAGCGCTGACACTCCTTCACAACCGCGTCGACGGTGGCGCAATCTTTAACGATCAACAGATTGAACGCGTCATCGGCAATTCCCTTCAATATGTGAGCGATTTTGTCAGTTTCGCTCATGTTCTCGTCCACCTTTCGACAGAGGCCCAATACGTCCTGTATGTAAGATACATACGATTCTGTCGATGTCTGCACGCGACATTCCAGGTCTTTCCTCGCGGCCTGCTGTCGCCCAAATGGCCTGCTGAATAACTCGAGAAGCTTCAGTTTGCAAACGTCCCAGCTGGTCAACTCCGACTCATGCGTCTCATACCAGGTGAGCGCCGTATCCCGCAAGTAAAATACAACGTTGGCCAGCATCAACGTAGGGTCCCACCTATAGTATTCGCTCACGCGCTCGTACAAAGCGACCCAATCTTCAACATTCACCTTGTCCTTGCCTGTGCCCGAGAAGGTTCCGGGGTCTCGTGGAGGCAGGAGAATCAGAGGAGGCAGCTGCTGCTGCTGGTGCTGGTGCTGCTGGTGCTGGTGCTGGTGCTGCTGCTGGTGCTGGTTCTGCTGCTGCTGCTGCTGCTGGTGCTGCTGCTGCTGCTGCTGCTGCTGCTGCTGCTGCTGCTGCTGCTGCTGCAGCTGCTGCGGCTGCTGTTGCTCTTGTGGGTGGGCCTGTTGAGCCATTGCAGAAAAATGAAGGTGGCGACCACTCCGAAGTTCCGTGTTGGTTTGCCGGAAAAGCCAGGTAGGCGTACCCCGCACCTCCACCAATAATCTTACAAGAAAACGTATATTTACAGATATTTACAACGATTACACGCGATCACAATGCCTGGCGCACTGGCGGGCTGGAACCAGTCTCTATCCACTTCGTAGTCTTCCCTTTTAGCCAGGGACCCTCTACCGCTTTATGCCCCAATCCCACTACTGCCTTGTGGCAATATTTCGAAAACTCAGCCAACCTGTCAAAAACATTTTTTTCCTGGTATTTACATATATGAAGAGTGGAACTGTTTATATAGGTGTTTACAGAGAGCTTGGAAAAACGTGACTTTTTGCTGCCACTCGCTGCGTAGCGAAGCCTGCTTCATTGCTTTAACAGGTTTACGGGCGAACTAGTGAAGATATTTACGTTGTTTAGCTGTATACTACGGAATAAATTATGCAAGCACTTGATAAACACTCCACAAAATGCTCAACTTGGTCATGAACATTAGGTTTGTAAGTGGCCTGTGTTCAATCAACTGCTGACAAATCTGTGTATTCACACGTCTTCAAAGCAAATCTTGGAGATTTGTTAAAGTGATATCTGTAGCTCATTATTTCTGCACATACAGATAATCCCTCGTTAAGGGGGAATTAAATTTGTCAGGACGAACAAACAAGATTTTAGAGCATGAAACTTCAACGTGTTGATCATTTGAAACACAGGTGGAAGACATTCCCTCTGAAATTGACGACTTTCTTATGTTGAATTGGGGAATTAAACGCCAGAAAATCCAATGAACTTATTATGAAAAAAGGAAAGGTGCTGCAGCCGATTCCGGGTGCGTCGAAATCTTCAAGAACGAATATTTTGAGTACACCATGAGAAAATATCACACGTTCAATGGAAGACATGACATAATAAACTAGGCACCAGAATGCTGGCCGATAAACAGTAACATTCTATCAACCAGTTTTTGTGGCACTCAAGGCTAATTTCTAACCCGATAAATTCTTCGAAAGATTTCAGGTCTTCCTCTTTAATGAATTTCAGTGAAGTGTCAATAGGAATCAGCATGCCTACGTCTTTCTGTTTGATTTTACTGATGTCTCACTCAGTGTGGAAGGTGGTGAAGACTGGGGGAAAAGTTCAGACGACAGAATTTTAGGGCCCAGCTAGGTTTCAGAAATAGTTATAAGTAGAAAGACGAAAGGACATCTGCGAAAGGTTATTTGGTCTTGGTACGCAGACCACGAGCAATCTGGTAAAGAATGTGTACGTTACACGGTACTTTCGACACCAGGTACAAGCTCAGAAAGAGGAAGCATGCCATCGTGCAGCACCTAAGAAAAGGTCTGAGGAGGCATCCCAGACGCCGCATCGAATGGCCATATAGGCGCCGCAGTGTTTTCTCGTCCACCTCAATGTAGAAGAATAAGTTGGAAATTTAATTTGAAGGCACCAGCAAGAATTGGGAGACAGATTCGTTTAAGAGATATGTTTTTGATGGCTGCAGTCGTGGTGGCTGGGCTCAACATCGTAACGAAAATGCCTCTTGGCTGTTGCATCCGATGTGGCCTGTGAGCTATATATATAACCGATGTCGTCATAGCTCACCACCAGGCAGTTTTTTTTTCTTTCAGCCGTTTTTTTAACGTAGAATAACGTCGTTAACGACACAGGCTCCTAACATTCCAGCTCGATTAAGATGCAATTGTCTCGGCTAGAAGCGGACCAGGGATATTCGAGTCAGCATTCGAGCACAGCTGCCCCGGTATCAGCAACACAAACAAGAACAGTAATGCAAGCATACCAGACACAGGCTCTGCTTGCACACTACAACCAGGATGACGCAGTGCCAAAGAGCTTTGCGTAATCTTGCTTCATTAAAGTGGTGTAATAGTTCGGCCAAAACATCGAGGTACACCGCAAGAACATTACGAGCCGAGGCCGTAAATCTGTACGCTAACAGAGGAAAGCACCACCTTGTCTTTATCAAATATAACTGGGCTTGCCTTCTGTTATCAAATAGAACAGACGAGTGTTTTTTATAATTTGCTTGAGGGTTATGGTAAAGTTCTCCTACTTACCGACGAGACAATCAACAAGATTCCAGAACGTGGAAGTTGCCTTTCGAGTTCTGCATCTGCCAACAAATTTTCGCCTACCGTTTATATGAAATACATGACAGTGAAGCGTAGCAAATCGCTGTTGTGTTTGCGTGAGAATCATGATTGAACTCATTGGTGATGTCACTTGAAAAAGAAATTGTGAATGAGGACAGCGCATTCGCATTTTTTCTCTTTCAGCGATGTCTTTTACGCCCCTAAATGTCTTGACTCTCAGACAAAAAAAGTGTCCTCTGACCAGAACTTGCTCCACAATTGGACCAGGTACTAGCTTTCGGACAAACACCCACCAAACGCGATTTTTTTTAGTTCACATACATAACTGTTCTTGGAGATACAAATACTATTACCTACCTCTGACGTTCCTTGCAAATAGTTTATGGTGAATTCCACAAAGTGGCGGGAGGGTTAAACAGCTAAATTGACATCTACGCGTTTGTAGCGCAAAGTCACAAGAAACTTCATACAGATTTCTCAGATGGAAAGCTTTTTCACGGCCGAAAAACTTGCCTTGGTTCAAGATTTGAAACCAGGACCAACTCGTCGTGCACGTTTCTGTGAATTTCTGGTTCCTATCATTTTGCCCTTGCACTGTTGAAGTATAAGTTGTTAGGGGCCAGTCCTGTTTTTTTTTATTTTTACCGCAGATGAGATTGCAATTTTCGGTTGCTAAAAAAGGTACTTTCTGGGAAATTCGTACGAATATCCTTCTAGCTTCATGCTACAAACGGGTAGTTATCCGTTTATTTTTCTTTGCATCGTATGTTTTAGAACATTTCATACCATTCGGTAGATGTATAAAAATAAGAATAATTTTACCACTGATAAAGAATTTCAGCGTCAGTATAGTCATTTTCAGAAATGATAGAGGCGTGCTGAAAAGCACATTGCAGTATTTAGGTACCCCCAAATGACAATTTTTTTGTGTATATGCAACAGCCAACAACCGAATCTTTGCATTGAAATTGAATACTGCAAATATTGCTGAAAGAACAGTCTGTAGTAGCTAACATTATGCAAATATAACCTAGTAAGCGAGTTCTAGTCAGGTTTGGTACTCGCTAACTGCTAAAGTGCTACCGCCAAGTGCTCATAATATACACAATCTCTGTAATTTCCTCAATATTAGGCATAAAAACGGCATCAGCCGCCATAGGCGATATTTAGCCTATAAACCAAACACTAGCCATCATTAGCCATTATTGAGCCAGTAGTAGTTAACACTACAACAATCGGCAGTGTGGCTATTACGCAAGTTAATGTGCTTGGTCTGGCTATCGCACTCCATGATTGCAGCGTTGTATTCTAAAAGTAGTCTCGCATATAAAACATTTGAGCATATGCTGTCCAGTACACTATGCAACTTGGTTTTTTCCCGATTGCGCAAAAAAAAGCCTCCACACAAAATGAGTTTCTTACCATCTTTTGAACCTAGCGTGTGATCCAGCTGAACACCAGTCGAATTATAAACCGTGGCACCTCGATGTCGATACCACTGCGCATTTGTGAGCTCTCCTGCATTGTACCAGTTGCAGGTGTCTTCGTCGAAGGAGCAGCTTCCCGGTGGAGGACACGGTGTGTGGCCCAGGCTGATATCGTCCACAGCTACTGCACTGCCGGGATTGCCAGAAGTTGCTGCGTCGAATACGACCTGTGTGGTGGAAGAAAAAAACTTAAAAAAGAGCGAAATGTTGTCGCGCTGACCTCTGAAATCTTATTAACGAGGCTCGTTGTTTTCACTACTAGCGTTGTTCATGGGCTGTACATGGTAATACAGGCATGAATAGTTTTTTTTTTCTGGGGCTCGACTGAAAACAACTTGGCTATTCAAAAAAAAGTTGCACCCGTTCCACGCTGTAAAAACTAGAAATCAGCGAAGCAGAGCTGGAGATTCGCGTGCCTCTGCTGACTTTTGGCTTGTGTTTGTCTGAGTCGAAGCTGATTCTTTGCCTGTTTCTGTTGGCGCACTGAATACGCCCAAGATTTCTGAATTGAGGCTCACGTCGCATTCACTGAAGTTTCACGTCCGCTCTCTTCAGTGCGTCCACATTTCGCTATAGCTTTAATGGATCATACAGGCGAATGATTCCTACGGTTATCATAGGTAATATCACGCTGGCAGTGACATCTGCAATCTGTTAAGCGGCGTGAAAAGAGAACTTGTTCTCTGATATGGTGGCATTACTTCTTACAATAATTTGATAATGACTTGCCCTGTAGCACCCTCTTCTAGTACAAAATGGCGATGACTTTACGTGCAGCACCCTCTTTAGGCCTATTTCGGTAATTTCGCCATCATTTCAAGCGAAGACAAGAGATGACCGGAGAAAGTCCGGGCCTTTAAATTACGCCAAATGCAAGAGTATCATTAGGCAATCATTTACACGACTGTTATCCAATACTTTTTGCTTTCTTGCTGACTACTGAATTGTTGCAAAGCTTTTCTTTGCAAGCAGTCCGGAACACAGTGTTAATCAAACGCAATAGAATTTTCCTCTGAATAATAGTCAAGCAAAAGCATAAAGCACCAAATGGTGCATGTGGCCGTTGCTTCTTGCTTGAGAAGGAAGTTCTATTCATAAGCAGATCTGTATGCTCATTGCCACGACGGCAGTGCAGTGGTCACAGTGCTGCACTGCCGTCTCGAAATCATGGGTTTGTTCCGGTGGCGGTGATCACTTTTCGGTAGAGGCGAAACTCTATAGGGCCATGTCATCGTTTAAGGTTACGGTAAAATCCAGGCGGTCAAAACTCGCTGAGCCCTTCTTTTCGATTACTCAGATCTTGGTTTGGACAGTACGATTTTGTCATCTGACGTAGCACTTACCTCGTTGCATCGAAATGTGAGGCTCACTAATTGAATGGGAGGATTGCGTGATGCTGAGAATGACGATGGTGACGGGCAAACTAATGACAGGCACGCTGGTAAGGGGGAGCGTTATGCATTGTGCAAAGATTAAATAAAAGAGAGGTGCGTCAAGAGGAGAGTAATGCTCAGTGGAAGAATCCAGCTGTTTTGTGAGCCGTAGATCAGTGTGTGCCTGAGGAGATGGTCATGAGGGGGGGGGGGAGGGAACTGTTTTGTGAATCTACACTTTCATAATTGCCAACATTTCTTAGGGGTAAAAAGCAACGTGACGTGAGCGTCAGCTAGATATTACGCCCGAACAGTTATTTCGACGTCGAGCCTGCCCCAATGTTCGCGCAGGAGCGGCCGAAGCTAAGCGTCAACATAGGGGAAAAGTTCCATGACATAGAAGTACGATAGCCTTGGAAAAGGAGGGGCATGAGCCTCACTGCTGGTTTGCAAGCAATAGTTGATCATTTAGAGCACTAGGAGTGAGTGCTAAGCTCTCCCCACTTTTAAATACAATAGAAAGCGTTTCAATTGAGGCCTCAAAAGTTAGGGGTCCTCAAGTGCTTTCTGTATGCAGACTATCGATCAAAAAGTATCCCGAAGAGTTTTAGATAGAGTCTGCGGCTTAGCATTAGCTTTTTTGAAGTCTCATGCAAGCGCAATGACCTCCACGCTATTTCTTTGGGGCAAGTTTTAAAGAATTCGAAGTACTCTATATCGTAATAAGTGAGTTCATCAAGCTCTCCCTGATGCTTCAGAAAATTCGTGTGCTTAGAAAAAATTGTGAACGCTTCAGAGCACTATACGCATTATACTGTGGGATAGACTTTAAGCTATCCCTGTAGTAAAGAACAGTGCATAGTGTGTATAGAAAAAAAAATTTTTAACGATCTACAGTATTTTATACTACGAGAAAGCATAAAGCCATCTTTGTTACGTAGCTAAGCTTGCAGAGAACTGCCATATCGGTGTACATCGTGTGTTAAAATCTCTTAACGAGCCAGCCATCCTGATCAACTATGCGCTGCAGGCGGCGTTCAAGTTCAACTGTGTGTTTAGAAAAAGTGGTTAACGATTTAGAGTGCTTGGCACTCTACAATGGGATAGCTGAAAGCCATCCTGTAGATCCTCTGAGCGCGGCGCCGTTGGAGCCCAAGATTGTCTTAAAGGCAAATTCTTTTCATGTCTACGCGTGCCCTGGCTGCTAGTATGCGCTGACTCGAAGAGTCTCCAAACGTGCACTAGCTGCTCTTTAAGTTTCGTCAGCACATATACTTTGGAATGGTACCAGCCGTAATATGAAGCGTCACCCTCAGAGGCGTTCAGTTGCTCTTTATATCTTTTAATATATCGTCACCAAATGGTGATTACGAAACGCGCATTTCTTAGAGATATTGATCGCGCAATCTAAGGAGACCACAGAAGGCATTTCTATACATCACAGCCTGCGGTAATACCAGGGCAGCATGTTTCAGCTTCACTGGTTAATCATATATACTGGATGCTTCATTTGAGTGGTTCTTAAAATAAATCAAAAAGGAGCTGAATTTTAACTGCCTATACTCCGTTTCATACATCAGGTGCAACGCTGTGGTTAAACATCAGGTGCAACCTTAAAAGCAGATGGTCTCCGCGTCAGCGACTCGGACCCATTACGTTGTTCTCCTGAACAAAGGGCGTCCCGCCCTGCTCTCAGAGGAAGTGGCACTGACTTCGAAGTACCCTAACTTAGACAGGCATGCGCTGTCATCTCATGACGCCCTATGAAACACCGGGTTGGCACCATTTTAAAATTTGCTATTTTAAACTGAATACAGACACTGCGCTCCCTTGGCAACTCGTGTGTCACTGCTCACCTAATAATAAACCAACATTAACACCTTGTGGCCCTTCGCTAATGAGTCTTGCCAACCATTCGCATTTGGCCGTTGTATTATGGCGTACTGTGATGCAAGATACCACGCTAACGACGTGCTCAGTAATAGTTTGGCTCGCCATGCGCCAGACGCCTGTCATACGTTCTGAAAACGACAAGTGGCAATACGAGGGCTGTCAATGCGCCCAGAAGAACGAGTGTGCCCGTAGCGATTAAGTCAATGCCACCGACAAAAAGTGAAGCCAGAGGCACGCACGAAGCCAGAGGCATGCCTCTTTCATTCGAAAATGCAGTTCAACAATGTCAATTTTGACTTCTTGAATGCACAGACCCGACCTATTAACTGGTATTTCTGCATCGCAAACACTTCGAAGGGCTGTAAAGTTTAGGTTCTAAGCTCGCCAGGGCTGTCGCAAGCTGTCATATGCTGCTGCATGGTGTCGCAGCTGGGCAATACTAAGGTAAAACCACTAGTAGTGTAGCCATCTGAGCATGGTGAGCCTGTACTTGCACCAAGGAGACGCATTTGGTCTCTTGTTATTTGGGCACCTTAATGATAGTCAGACGAAGCCCTTGAAAGGTCTGAGCTGTCGTAAGCTGTCGTCGCTTGGTGAAATTCAGGCAAAGCCACGTGTAAAAAGGGAGACGATGAGGAAACAAGTTATTAACAAGGATAAAAAGGGAAAATAGGATAATGAACTGGAACACCGAGAAACGGAAAAAAGCAGGTTAAGAGAGAAGAAAGTATTGATATAAAGAACACAACAAACAAAAAAGAGAGAGAAAGAAATAAAAAAAAACAGAAAAGAGACAAAGACGGCTACACAGCACCGCACTATCTTCAGTTTTCGGACTTCTATAGTGCAGTGTACATCACTCCAGCTATAGTAGAATTAGAGCTTTCCGTCGTCGAGTTTTATGTGTCGCCGAGGGTTAATGCACAAATTCATAATACCACCATTCGTTATTTTGTATGAAAACTCCAGTGCATAGGGTCTTTAAAACTGAAACATCTGTGATAGCTTGTAAAGACACATTGGCGGTTTCAAGTGCTTGGCTCCCTATCCAAGCGGCACAGCAACTTTTCTTTCTCACAGGCTGCGTGTATACATGAACGGCATCACTCACGAATTGGTATACAACAGGAATCACTTGCCATGGGCGTTTTTTCTTGAGCAGGCAGGTTAACCGAGGCTGAGAACCACTGCTGTATCGAAGCCTCAGATGCGGCGCTATACCAAAGAGACTTCTCTTGATCTTCATCCACCACGCTGGTGACGTTCAGTCTTTCACTGGAGGTGCCCGAGATGAAGAACCAAAAGCGGAGACACCTGTGCTTGGCGGCGTCATACCATTTCAGGGGGCTGACCATGCGGCCACCGGGAGCTTTTGCCAGGGCGAAGTATCCTAAAAGCGCAGGTGTCGGGTGGCAAAGCTAACAATTAGTAGTGTATGGAAAGCGAATACTAGATCAGAGACAAAACATTTATGCATTATTGACTTGCTTCTAAAGACTGATTGATGTATATTGTTTTTATGTTAACAGATCTCCACATAGTTGCATAAACTCTATTATGAAATTTTTTTGACGCTTATGAGAACCATGGTTTCTAATTTAACAGCTTCGTAGGTTTCTGTAACCGTTTCTAGCGTTCAAATTCCGTGGCAGAAAATCTGAAAGAAGATTATGGAATTCCAGTGCTTATGGTCAGCCCATGCAAATGTTGTTCACAGCGGCTTCAGATCGCGACAGTTCCTAATAAAGGTAATCGCACTGAGCCTCACAGCAGCTTAAAACTGAATGCCACAGCTCGTCACATTTACTACAATATTTCTCTGCTTCAAAGAAAATGTTTCAGAGAAAAAATGCCGCAGAGAAAAATGTTTCAAAGAAAAAGAAGACTTGGCACTGAGCTATAGACGATATGGTCGGCATATTCTCACCGCATGAGAGATCATTGGCTCTGCCACACTAAACAAGGATACAAATTGCTTGGCGTGTGTTTTATGTGGGTCTATTAAGATGAATCAATAATTTATATGGGTGGGGGTCACGCATTTGTTGAACTAGGTGCATCATTTTAAGCGTGTTGAGTGTCATTGTTATTTTTTGTAAGAACCTCGACGGTTGCATATTTCGAAATGGCTGGCCCGCTCGGCGTGGCCACCCCACCTTGCCCTGGTAAATGCTCTTCAGAAAAGTGTCCTCAGCCAGGCCCTACCCCTGAAGAAAAAAAAAATCTGAGTGATTACTTTTGTTTTCTAGCAGTAGAGTCTTTTCTGTTTCTTCTTGATTTATTGTCCTTTATTTTGCTTTTTTCACCTTCAACTATCTTTTTATTTCCCTCACGAAAGACGAGGCAGACGACACGCCCATACATTCAAAATAAGTCCGAATGGGGTGCTGCAGATGAAGTCTATGTAGGAATAAGTAAAAGTGGGTTCTTCATGTCATTACCGCAAGAGCTTAAAGGGCCCTTCACTAGGTTTGACGATTTTGGGCTAAAAAGCGCAATGTTTAAATGGGGCACTCACGATCACATCGGCCGAAATTTGTAACGCTATGCGCAACGCGGAAATGGTTTGAATTTCAAGATGAACGCTGCTCCCTCTCTCTTTCACCGGAGCGTGCCCATAGAATGAGGGCATGACGTGCGCGCATGACTTGCCCTAGGTAAATGGCATTGCGGTGACGTTGGTCCTATACATAGACGACTGTGCTCCGACGTTGCCAACAGTGGCACGTGACATGGCGAAAATTATTTAACACGACATGCGTAGTTTATAAAATTTCTTGCTTGAAGAGAATCAAACTCGAGACCACAAAAAATGGCAGAATATCCACGGAGTGAATGATGGAGAGTGGGGCGAAGCATTCGTCCGTCCATGCGTCCGTCTGTGTGACCGTCAATGCGTCTGTTCGTGCGCCCGTCCCTGCGTTCGTTCATGCATCCGCCCCTGCGTCCGTTCATGCGTCCATCCATGCATCTGTCTGTGTGTCCGTTCGTCCATCTATTCAACACTCCAAGTACCACCATCTGGCATCTTTTCATCATATATTCCCCATATAGAAGCACCGCCATTCAGTGGACATTCCAAAGACTAAATGAGAGGTGGCACACGCACACTTTCTTACGGCTTGCGCTTCGGGTCTACTCCCCACCTTCAACCACCTTGAGTTCATGGTATATACTAGTTCACTGTATTCATGGCACTGCGGCCCAACGCTCGCTAAACCTTTCCAAAACCAAGGAGGTTACGCCCAGCGAGTATAACGTAGCAAACTTTTCCTGTCAGATAGTGCTCAATGTACATGCCAGTGGCTGCTAATGTGAAATGAGAGAACGGAGGACTCAGCTTTTAATTTCTTACGGCTTGCGCTTCCTATCTGCTTCCCCCTTTAACCACCTCGACTTTATTCATGGTATATACTAGTTCATTGTATTCATGGCCCTGCGGCTCAACGCTCGCTAAACCTTTCTAAAACTAAGGAGGTTAAACCCAGCGAGTATAATGTAGAAACCCTTTCTTGTCCGATAGTGCTCAATGTATGAGAACCATGGTTTCTATTTTAACAGCTTCGTAGGTTTCTGTAACCGTTTCTAGCGTTCAAGTTCCGTGGCAGAAAATCCGAAAGAAGATTATGGAATTCCAGTGCTTATGGTCAGCCCATGCAAATGTTGTTCACAGCGGCTTCAGATCGCGACAGTTCCTAATAAAGGTAATCGCACTGAGCCTCACAGCAGCTTAAAACTGAATGCCACAGCTCGTCACATTTACTACAATAATTCTCTGCTTCAAAGAAAATGTTTCAGAGAAAAAATGCCGCAGAGAAAAATGTTTCAAAGAAAAAGAAGACTTGGCACTGAGCTATAGACGATATGGTCGGCATATTCTCACCGCATGAGAGATCATTGGCTCTGCCACACTAAACAAGGATACAAATTGCTTGGCGTGTGTTTTATGTGGGTCAATTAAGATGAATCAATAATTTATATTGGGTGGGGGGTCACGCATTTGTTGAACTAGGTGCATCATTTTTAAGCGTGTTGAGTGTCATTGTTATTTTTTGTAAGAACCTCGATGGTTGCATATTTCGAAATGGCTGGCCCGCTCGGCGTGGCCACCCCACCTTGCCCTGGTAAATGCTCTTCAGAAAAGTGTCCTCAGCCAGGCCCTACCCCTGAAGAAAAAAAAATCTGAGTGATTACTTTTGTTTTCTAGCAGTAGAGTCTTTTCTGTTTCTTCTTGATTTATTGTCCTTTATTTTGCTTTTTTCACCTTCAACTATCTTTTTATTTCCCTCACGAAAGACGAGCCGACGGCACGCCCATACATTCAAAATAAGTCCGAATGGGGTGCTGCAGATGAAGTCTATGTAGGAATAAGTAAAAGTGGGTTCTTCATGTCATTACCGCAAGAGCTTAAAGGGCCCTTCACTAGGTTTGACCATTTTGGGCTAAAAAGCGCAATGTTTAAATGGGGCACTCACGATCACATCGGCCGAAATTTGTAACGCTATGCGCAACGCGGAAATGGTTTGAATTTCAAGATGAACGCTGCTCCCTCTCTCTTTCACCGGAGCGTGCCCATAGAATGAGGGCATGACGTGCGCGCATGACTTGCCCTAGGTAAATGGCATTGCGGTGACGTTGGTCCTATACATAGACGACTGTGCTCCGACGTTGCCAACAGTGGCACGTGACATGGCGAAAATTATTTAACACGACATGCGTAGTTTATAAAATTTCTTGCTTGAAGAGAATCAAACTCGAGACCACAAAAAATGGCAGAATATCCACGGAGTGAATGATGGAAAGTGGGGCGAAGCATTCGTCCGTCCATGCGTCCGTCTGTGTGACCGTCAATGCGTCTGTTCGTGCGCCCGTCCCTGCGTTCGTTCATGCATCCGCCCCTGCGTCCGTTCATGCGTCCATCCATGCATCTGTCTGTGTGTCCGTTCGTCCATCTATTCAACACTCCAAGTACCACCATCTGGCATCTTTTCATCATATATTCCCCATATAGAAGCACCGCCATTCAGTGGACATTCCAAAGACTAAATGAGAGGTGGCACACGCACACTTTCTTACGGCTTGCGCTTCGGGTCTACTCCCCACCTTCAACCACCTTGAGTTCATGGTATATACTAGTTCACTGTATTCATGGCACTGCGGCCCAACGCTCGCTAAACCTTTCCAAAACCAAGGAGGTTACGCCCAGCGAGTATAACGTAGCAAACTTTTCCTGTCAGATAGTGCTCAATGTACATGCCAGTGGCTGCTAATGTGAAATGAGAGAACGGAGGACTCAGCTTTTAATTTCTTACGGCTTGCGCTTCCTATCTGCTTCCCCCTTTAACCACCTCGACTTTATTCATGGTATATACTAGTTCATTGTATTCATGGCCCTGCGGCTCAACGCTCGCTAAACCTTTCTAAAACTAAGGAGGTTAAACCCAGCGAGTATAATGTAGAAACCCTTTCTTGTCCGATAGTGCTCAATGTACATGCCAATGGCTGCTTATGGGGATTGCAGCGTGCGCGTTGACTAAAAACCGAATGCTCCTGTCTCTCATTCCCCATTAGCAGCCATTGGCATCTACATTGAGCACTATTTTTTATTGTTAAACAACGCACAGAAGAAATATCTCACCGGCACCACCTTGGAGGTCAAATGTTATACCTATTTCGGGTATGTGCCACTGGTGGTTACGTACTACGAGGAACGTAACAGCCACGAGCGAATCTTGAGCGTGGCATGTAATCATGTTGTTACATGACACGCATGTCATGATCGTTATGTTAGGGTCTGTCTCCTGGGTTCGCGATGCAATCATGTCATACCATACCAGCTTTCCAACATGCCATGTGAACGAAACTACTGCAAGAGCTGCAGGACCATGAAATGTAAATCATGACTTTCATGACATACATGTCACGATTTTCATGTTATGAGTAGTCAAGTGTGTTCTTCATACTGTCATGTTATGCCATACTAAGTTTGGTATCAATACCATTATCGAAATGCCCAGGGAAGCTAAAAGTCGTAGGCGGCTAGATAGATAGATAGATAGATAGATAGATAGATAGATAGATAGACATATAGATATATTGGTATAGATAGATAGATAGATAGATAGATAGATAGATAGATAGATAGATAGATAGATAGATAGATAGATAGATAGGCTCAAGATCGCCGAAGTGCGCTAAGAAACACTTCGCATTTAATATTGAGATGCAGTAAGGGAATGCGCTCGTCTTTTTTACCATAATTTCCCGGGACGGCTTTTAGCTCTCCTGGCCGTTTCAATAATGATATTGATACCAAACTTGGTTTAGCATAACATGACTGTATGAAGAACATATTTGACTAGTCATAGCATAAAAATAAAAATCATGATATGTATGTCAGGAAAGTCATGATTTACATTTAATTGTCCTGCAGCTCTCCCTGTGGTTTCGTTCACATGGCATGTTGCAAAACTGTTGTGTTATGACATGGCTGCATGGCGAACACAAGCGACAGACCCTGACATGAAAATCATGGCATGCGTGTCTTGAAACAACATGACTACACGCCACGCTCATGATGTGCTCGCGGCCGTTTAGCTCGCGTCACATATACCAAATTTGGTATTACAGTACGCGAATGGATGACAAAGGTATGTGACTGGTGCAAACATGACAATCATGAAATGCGTGTCACGTAACGACTTGACTACATGCCACGCTCATGATTCGCTGGCGGCCGCTTTCCTGGCTTCACTTATATCAAATTTGGTATTACAGGACTTGAATCGATGAACAAGGTATGATACTGGTGCAAACATGATAAACATGAGATGCATGTTATGTAACAACACGACTTCAGGTACGCTCATGATGCGGTCGCGACCGTTTCGATATAGCTTCACATGTACCAATTACAGTATGATGTGACGCGCACGCACGACATGCATAGGTAAATGATACATCCTAACACGATAATCACGACATGTGTCTCATGTAACACCATGACTACATGCCACACTCATGATGCGCTCGCGGCCGTTTCGATAGCTTCACATATTACAAATTTGGTATTACTTGACAGCAATGGATGACGAAAGTATGTGACTGTTGCAAACATAATAATCATGAGATGCGTGTCATGTGAGAACATGACTACATGCCACAGGGAAGACGCCAATACATTTCGACATGACGCGGTGCGCGTGCTTTCCGGCGTTCATTTGGTCGCGTCACGCCGGTGTTGCCATGCCAGGCGATGGTCCTGCCATATACTTTGAGGCGCGCGCCATGCTGCACTCCTTTGACGCATGTGCGTTTCAGCGCACCTGGCGTCCTTCCGTCACGAAAAGAGAGAGACGCAGTGTTGTCTGAGTAACGGATCGGCATAGAGTAATGTTACTCTATGGCATCAGCGCGAGATTCAGCGTGTCACATTTCGCGCCGGTTACCGTTGGGCCGCGCCGACGGACGCTGGCCGCGCCTGGCATCAGACTATGGAGTGCTTCCGGTTTGCTAACGCAGCATCGCTGTGCCCAGCGTGCGCGCGATTCAAAGCTACATTGGAGTATATTGGTTCTTCGTGATGCTCCAGCGACCGTTTTGCTAGCTCCACATATAGCAAATTTGGTGTTACGTGACGTCAATGAATGACGAAATATATGACTGGTGCCAATATATGACGCGTGTAATGTAAGAACATGACAACTTATGATCATAGCGTGCTTTGGGACGTTTCACTAACTCCATATATACTAAATTTGTTATCACGTGACGCGAATAAACGACGAAGGTAAAGGACATATTCAAAGATGATAATCAAGACAGGGAAGTCATGTATGGAATCATTTACCTTCACCTCGTGAAGTTCTGCTGATCTTGAAGTGGCGGAGCAACATTTCTCCTTCATGCTTCGCATCTCATCGGTTCCCACTGTACGTGAGATCTGCCAATTTTTTTTTATTCCTATGTTGCGACAAACAGTAAGAAGGTCACAAGTTTTACTGCATTTGCAGTATATTTGAGGAGTGTACCATTCGCATTGTTTGTATCAATACACGCTACGGTAAGCTAAGCAAGACACGTTGCTTAACAAATTCAGTTTCATTATTTGAAGCGTGGTCAAGATTTTCAAATGTATAGCAATAGTGCTTCTCACGAAGCTTACCTGAAGGTGATCGAGTGCTGTGATCGGTGGCTGGCAGGCTTACGCGTTGCGATGTCACACGTTCCCAGTTGTGCAACTGCCATCCGCATGTGTCGGATTCAAAATCACACGTTCCGTCTGAACAGATAAGAAATGCTACACTCAATCAAAGACACAGAAAGTTGGAGTTCTGCAAACCGTATTTCCTGGAATAAATGTTAGGATAGCATAGCACAATAAACAACGCCTAAACTGCAGCAGGCTTCCAAAAGGAAGTACCTTTCATGCAAACTAGACAGCGCTTATGCGTCTTCACGCGTATCTGTAAGTGTGTACATGGCCCACGTCAATCTGTGGAACCAAATCGCTAGAGCGTTTGCTGAAAATAAGGTTTCCTCAGTTTTTGTGCGCTTAAATGAAAGCCTCTGAGAAGACATTTTTGGCAGTTGCACAATATCATGTTGATAATCTTTTCATCAGTATATTTGGCCATTTCTTACAAAATATCTGATCCTGAAGACCATACTCAATTTCAAATACTGAATGAGATTCGTCTGGTGCACTAAAGCGCGAAAACACACAACGAGCACAACACAGACGATGACGACGAACGTTGAACTTTCAACCTTATTACTTTTTTTGAAAAATGCCCGTATATTCTTACTGTGTGACACAGACGTCCTCCGTCACATATGTTTAGGTAGGTGTTCCGTCCGTTGTGTGGTTTTCGAGTTGTATAGTACACCACAACAATGCACCAACAAACACAACACGACACGCTGAATAAATAACATCTACGTCCCTGTACCTGCCACGTATCTTGGCTATCGACGGCCACGGGTTCAAACCCAGCTGTGGCTGTCATATTTCGGTTAGGCGAAACTTCAGAGCCCTATGTACTGTGCAATGTCAGTGCTCGTTAAAGAACACCAGATGGTCAAAATTTCCGAAGCCCTCCATTATACCGCGTCTTTTAATAATGGCAAAGATTTCTGATGTAAAATCTCTTATAATATTATCTCACTATACTGTTAGCTGCCAAAACTTTCTTGCCATAATTATCGCATTCTCAGCTTTCGTTTACGACAAATGCAGCTTGCATCTCAAAAGACGCGTGCCGTGTTTTTAATGCCTGTGTGTCTGGCTTCGTCTGATGTAGAAGCATGCAAAATTTTCCTCCTCAGAAAGATTGTTAGAGCTTCTCGGCTGTAAACTTCCACATGTCACGCGACACAGTCGTGCCTTTCCTCTTGTCGATAGAGTGTAGAGACACATTCCTCGCCACTGCGCGACTATTTTTGCTTACCGCGGCTGGTGGACAGCGCCGTAATTTAAAAGTATTAATCAAATATATGACGACTACACGTGGCCACTATCCGTCCCTCCCTCATGCACAATAAATCGCTGTCTAGTAATATAAAGCAAAAAAAAGCAAAAAAAGCAAAAAAGCAAAAAAAATTGATCTTCGATGCTGGGTTTTCAACTAACGGCATTGGGTTCAGAAGTAAAGTGTTTTGGCCCGTGTTCTCAAGACCCGCGCTTGCCGAACGAGAATATTCATTTTTTCTCTCTGAAAACACTAATTACGTAACATGATGCATCTAATAAAAAACCCAACCTCGAACGAGAACACTTCCCTCTATTGAAATATTTTGCAATGGTTCATTAAAACTTCTCTTGCCTGCGGTTGTTTCGATCGAAGCACCACATAGACCAGTTGAATACGGTTGTGAGTCTTTGCAGTCACATGGTTTTACTTCATATTTCTTCTGGTGTTTGTGAAGGCCAGAAAAGTCGCCAAACGCAGGAACGTAAAACTTGTGAAACGGTTATGTTGTAATGCCCTCTACAACATGCCAAAACACGCTTTTTCTTAAGTATTGATATTAGAGACCTGAAAAAACAATTTTGCTTATTTACTAACCAGTTATAACCTAAAGTATCCAAACCAAAGTCCATGGTTCTTCATATGTATTTGAATTTATTTAAATGCACCTGACAACCTTTCAAAAATTCCCGTTTTTCTTACATTAAAGCTGTGGTACAGTAAAATATCCATAAATCCAACTTGATGGGCACTCTAAAATTGATCCAAATAAGCGGAGTTAGAATTAGCGGATGGGCACTACAGCGAACAGACGTTGCGCCTTGCTGCGTGGATGTCACACACCGGTCCCGTTAATTAGGGAGCCAATCACCGGGCTAATTCCAAGGGCCGAAGTATCGGCCCCCCGAAACGCACCACGAAAGCTTGGACAATTTAGAAGTGGTCCTTTTTGGCGTGCCAGCAGACGCCAGCTGTGGCCCAAAGAACAAGTCAGAGCCGAGAGTTGATAACCAAAACGAAATTATATTCTCAAAAATGGCAGATAGAAAACAATACACGGGTATGCACACGCCACAATAGTTCAGTACAATATGTCACCAATCAACCAACGTACTACACAGTACAATCAGCCACACTCAAAACAACGGACACAGACAACAATACACACTACAATGCAGTCGCATGCATTTAACAACCAAGACACTTAAAGACTAAAGAGATAGAAAATCTATTCAGTTCAAAGTCCTTGGAACAAAAGTCTGAATGATACTCTTCCGAGAATCACTCACTCAAAGTCCAGCGTTGTTGTCGTTCCGCTGCCCCCTGAAGTTTCTCTTCCAGGAAACCTCGCGTCTTCAATTGGCCAATCTTCAAGCTTCAACTTCTTCGCCGGAAACACGTCGGCTTCACACACACAGCTGTTGCCACGCGTCTTCGCTCGATAGTGGTAAACACACGCTCTTGCCTGTAGCTCGAGCCTGCACCCCTCAGGTGGAAATCCTCTTCATTTCCTGCTTCGTCCCTACGGACAAAACCTTCGCCGACTACACGGCGGAATCCCTACGCACTCTGGCGCTACTTCCATCTTCTCCTGCTCTCTCGTCTCGGCCGCTCGATTAAATACCTTCCGCGCCACATTCTAAAAAGTTCTCGTCATTTCGTCGGCGCGATACGCAGCGAAGGCTGGGGAGAGGCGCGAGACTGTACGGGGGCCGTCCCCGACAGATGAGTCAACCCGGCATACACGCCCCGTTGCTTCTGGAAAAATCGAGTGCTTGCTCGGCCGCCGTTGTGGGGTGAGGAGGTTCATCGGCGAAGCCACGCTTCTGCGAGGTAAGCGCGCGCCCGGGGAGCCTTAGATGTTTGTTTTCTTTTTTTTCTTTTGACCTCGCGGCGTTTCTCCCGCCCGTTATCGCAAGAATTTGGCGGCGCGCCCATTTTTAGCGCTCGTTCTGTGACACTGCCCCCCACTTTAAGAATATTATCTCATAATATTCAAAACCACACAAACGAGCGCGAACAGTCACCACACATTCTCAAAGACTGCAACATAGTCCGTCGCTCATGACACGTCACATTCACAATATAGCACTCAATACAATTGGACATTACAATTCGATCTCACACACATGAAATATAACCGCAGGTACATGAGTACAACGCTTCATCAGACATTCCAAACAATGCAAACGTACAAAGTTCTGTCTTCACAACAATTATACAACACTATACATCACAGCACAAACACTTCGACACTCGTGACACAGGATAACACAACATTAACACAACATATGGCACTCAGCACTGCCAAACACATTCTGATTCGACCTAAGCACTTATCCTGTGTACTTTGAGCGGCGCTTGCGCCCTTTCTTGCGGTGCTCGCTCGATCTCTTCTTGTGTTTCCACGTTCTTTTTCGGCGAGCCCTTTCCAACGACAATATCTGAGGCGGCGTCTCAGCCATCGTTGTCACTTTCGACACCGTTAACGGGTCATAACGTTCAACGGGTCTTGTCTGTTTATTTACCAGCTCGTTCATGTCACGGCATTGGGCCTGGCTGGCCGACTCCGTCATTTTTACGCTCTCGGTCGGTTGGGGTCGTGCCGACGTACGTCCAGCTGCGCACCCCGTGAACTCATTCAAATCGATAATCTTCTCATTCGCTGTCTCTTGCGCCGCGGCTTCACCTTGGGCCCTAGTGAGGTCCGTCACGGGATGCTCCTCCACTGTATCTCGCGGTCGCTGGGTTGGCGAGGGCTCTAGCTTAGGGTCTTCTCCCAAACATTCCGGATCATTCGGTCCTCGCGCCCCGGCGATGTTTCCGAGGACAAGGTCGTAAAGGGGGGTCGTCATACATAGAGCAGTAACCTTCCCGCTGAAGTACGGGGTTTCAACCTCAATCTCTGCTTCGGGAAGCATCCGAACCGTACGGTCAATTAGGCAGACCGGTTTCGTATTGCCTGTCAACTCACTTTTCCGTACCAAATTTCTCCGCACGATAACCGTGGAGCTACCGGTGTCTCTTAGAACCGTAATCTTCTTGCCTGCAACCTTACCAGGCAGCGTTGGCATTCCCTTCGTAACACCGGTTGGCTGTTTTGACATTACAGCACCCACAATAGGAATTTTCTCCCCATTCTTCAACTCTACGAATCCATCGGTGACGGCATTATTATCAGATTTCGGTGCCACTTGCACACAGGATACCTGGTGAGTTTGACTCACTCCGTTCCGACAAGCGTCTGCTTTGTGCCCAGTCTGACCACACTTGAAACATTTTACTGCCGTAGGGCTCGTAAAGATCGTTCGACAGTTTTTCGCGCGATGACCCACTCGGTTACACAGAAAACAACGCAGAGTGCTCTCCGGTGCACGCTTCTTTTCTTCGGGAGCCAATTTCTTCAAATCATCGGGACAATCCTTTTTGACTTTGGCCAAATTAGTTCCACCCTGCGCTTCCAAGAATTGATAAGCCAATTCAAGCATTCTTTCAAGTGACTCAGCCTTCCTCTCTTTCAAATACAGCGACAGGCTTGGGTGGCAACTAGTAAGAAATTGTTCTCTAATTAGGAGCTCTCTAAGTTCATCGTACTCCTGCGCTGTCCCTGAAAGTTCAATCCATCTGTCGAAATAATGGCTAAGTCGGGTGGCGTACTGTGTAGCCGTCTCACCATCAGCTGGCTTTCCTGTCCGAAATCTGTCCCGGAAACCTTCTACAGTAAATCTAAATCGCTTGAGCAAAGCAGGTTTCACCTTGGCATAGTTGGCTGCATCGGTCGGCGTCAGCCTACCGTACACACTGAGCGCTTCACCACTCAAGCAAGTACTCAAAGCAGTTGCCCATAGATGTTCCGGCCAATTCTGGCTCCTTGCAATCGTCTCAAATCTGTGAAGGTACGCGTCAAGGTCGTCCTTCCTCTCATCGAACGCTACGAGCAGCTTGCTTGGGTTCAAGCGGAAGCCATGATCTTCCCGTTCGCTGCTTTCAACTCTAGCTTGGACGGGAGTTTCACTTCGCTGTTGCAAACGGAGCCGCTCGAGTTCCATCTCGTGCTGCCGCTGCCGTTCCCTTTCAGCCATCTCCGCTTCTCTTTCTTCTTTCAGCTGTCGCTCCCTCGCTTCTCTTTCTTTTCTCGCCCTTTCGGCTGCCAGCTTTTCTCTCTCCAACTCCAACTTCAATTGCAGCTCTCTTTCTTCTTTCACCCTTTCAGCTGCCAACCTCTCTCGCTCCAACTCAGCTGCTTTTTCTTCCTTGGCTCTCTCAGCTGCCAACCTCTCTCTCTCCACCGCCTCTTTCTCCTTCTGGCTTACCCATTTCCGTAGTTCGGCGCCAGAAAGACCCATCTTCTCACCAAGAGCGACTAACTTTTCGAGATCCATGGTGTCTCACAACTCGCAAATAAAACCTCGCCGCGTGCAAAAAGTATCTGCCTAAATCAGTCTATCGGAACACTCCCCTGCACTCGTTGACGAGAACACAGAGCAACACACAAAATCTTTCCGATAGCACTATCAACAACTCGAGGCTCTTTCTCACCACTTTGGACACACTGTGCACCAAAAGGTCCTGTGTCACGGATGCCAGATTAATTGTCACACACCGGTCCCGTTAATTAGGCAGGCAATCGCTGGGCTAATTCCTAGGGCCGCAGTATCGGCCCCCCGAACCGCACCACGAAAGCGTGGACAATTTAGAAGTGGTCCTTTTTGGCGCGCCAGCGGACGCCAGCTGTGGCCCAAAGAACAAGTCAGAGCCGAGAGTTGATAACCAAAACGAAATTATATTCTCAAAAATGGCAGATAGAAAACAATACACGGGTATGCACACTCCACAATAGTTGAGTACAATATGTCACCAATCAACCAACGTACTACACAGTACAATCAGCCACACTCAAAACAACGGACACAGAAAACAATACACACTACAATGCAGTCGCATGCATTTAACAACCAAGACACCTAAAGACTAAAGAGATAGAAAACCTATTCAGTCCAAAGTCCTTGGAACAAAAGTCTGAATGATACTCTTCCGAGAATCACTCACTCAAAGTCCAGCGTTGTTGTCGTTCCGCTGCCCCCTGAAGTTTCTCTTCCAGGAAACCTCGCGTCTTCAATTGGCTTCTCTTCAAGCTTCAACTTCTTCGCCGGAAACACGTCGGCTTCACACATGCAGCTGTTGCCACGCGTCTTCGCTCGATAGCGGTAAACACACGCTCTTGCCTGTAGCTCGAGCCTTCACCCCTCAGGTGGAAATCCTCTTCATTTCCTGCTTCGTCCCTACGGACAAAACCTTCGCCGACTACACGGCGGAATCCCTACGCACACTGGCGCTAATTCCGTCTTCTCCTGCTCTCTAGTCTCGGCCGCTCGATTAAATATCTTCCGCGCCACATTACTGAAAGTTCTCGTCATTTCGTTGGCGCGATACGCAGCGAAGGCTGGGGAGAGGCGCGAGACTGTACGGGGGCCGTCCCCGACAGATGAGTCAACCCGGCATACACGCCCCGTTCCTTCTGGAAAATCGAGTGCTTGCTCGGCCGCCGTTGTGGGGTGAGGAGGTTCGTCGGCGAAGCCACGCTTCTGCGGGGAGACCGCGCGCCCGGGGAGCCTTAGATGTTTGCTTTCTTTGTTTTTCTTTTGACCCCGCGGCGTTTCTCCCGCCCGTTATCGCAAGAATTTGGCGGCGCGCCCATTTTTAGCACTCGTTCTGTGACATTGGACACAACCCAAAGAAATCACTTTTGGACCAGTTAGGCACCGCATACGTTCGTTGCAAGTGAGTACATAAATGAATGTCACGAATCTCTACAGCGAGTAGTGATGAGTGAGTGATGGATCACGTAAGGAACAAGGACCGTCTGGCATTAATTTGAGCAGTGACTTCGAATGTTAAAACATATTGCACCATGAATACTTTTAAACAGGTTTGTTTACATGGAGAGTCAAGACAATTGAATTCAAAGTAAAGAGTAATTTGGATTGACTTGCGTGTCTTCCGTTGTGACTCTATGGTAATCGTTCGCACCTTGCCCAAGAGCTCGAGTGCGGCGTCTGAATTCCCAACTGCTGAAAAATAATGCTGTATTGTTGTTTTGCATCCCGAGTAAACTTGGCTCAGTTTGGTTCTGCCACAGATTGTGATCGTGGGAGCCAGCGTCTGCGAGGACCGATGAAAACCAGGGACTGCCACTTGAAATTAATCGTCGTGGACATAGGCGAGCACTTCGAGAGGGCGAGAAGGGGGTCACCGCCCCACCCCCCGAACCATTACCTATAAAAAAAACAGGGTGGCACAAACTCGGCTTCTAGTACGGATAGATATGTGTGGTTTAACGTGCCGAAACCACTACAAGATTATGAAAGACGCTGTAGTGGAGAGCTCCAGAAATTTCGACCACCTGGTGTTCTTTAACGTGCACCCAAATCTGGGCGGGCACACGGGCATACAACATTTCTGTTTCCCTGCAGCATCCGTAATGCAGCAGCCGCACCCGGGATTCGATCCCGCGACCTGCAGGTCAGCAGCCGAGTACCTTAGCCACTAGACCACCGCGGCGGGGCCGGCTTCCTATGCTGACTAAGTTTGAGAGGTGACCCGACCTGTGATAAAACCTTCAACTACCCCCTGACAGAAAACCATGTGTACGCTTGTAGTAGTGGGCACCAATGCTTTTGAATGATAGAAACTTTCACCCATAAGGCACACACCGGCGTTGGGACCAGGGCATCTATTCAAATTAACAGCGAATTATGAGTGACCAAGTTCTAATTAATGAAATCTTTTTGTATTCATGTAGTCATTGTATAGTTTCTAAATGTGAGTGGTATTCTCGCGCATGTAGCTGTCCTAGTGTTTCCAAAGCCTATACATGATTAGATTAATAATATGTAATAATCAGTGCAGACTCGCTTATTTATTATGTTAAAAAGATCATGCCGTACATGTTTCGTTGTCGCAGCGGCCATCTTTTAGGACGAAGTTGTCCACAGCAATGACACCGGGAGTACCACGATTCAACAAAGCTTCAAAGACAAGCTGCAATAGAAAATACATGAAAATAGCAAATCAGTCTAAAATAGACAGTTATCGTGCAAGCTGTGAAAGGGGTCAGGGTTCATCATAGGCCAAGAAGTTATCATGATTTGCGGTGGTACATACAGCAAAAATGGAATTATAAGTGCCTCTGTGTCAACCTTTTTGAAAACTTATCAGCATTATTGATATGCAGCCGAGATCGTTGTCACTTTCTCATCAAACCAGTCCCTTATCGCAAGTACTAGCTGTCCCCACATCGATAAGTTGGGTCTTAATTACTAGAGCGTACCTCTGCGAATATAACCCCAGACGAAGCCACGCTAAACGCTTTCAGATTACCATTGCCCGTGGTCTACTGCGTACTATTGAGTTCTGACATAACAAGGAGGCTGTTGAATTTAACATGTTCAACGTCAACCAAGCTCGTCTTTTTAATGTTTTGTAGGATGTGCGGGCATATCTTTTATAGGAAGCTCGACAAACTCTTAGCGAAAATCAGTACAACGATTGAATAACATCAGATGTTATCTATTTTGTGGCGTAAGTATCGTGGTCCAAATAATGTTATCGCTGCCTGTTCTTTCACAATAAACGTAAATTTGTTTATTTCTCTAAGCAAAATCAAGGGACCAACCTGATGAGGATCCTCAGAGTGGAGCTGTATCCAGCCTTGCTTCCAATCTTTACCTTGTGGTGATTGACGCATCCACAGCAGATCGGTGGAAGCGTTATCTACGCGCCGTAAAAGTTTGAGAGTGCCGATGTTTGGATGCCAGATGTTGTACCTAGGAAATTAATGAGGCATTTTTCTAGAACCAAAAACTGGTCACGTCAGTGTTCATTAAAACTATAAAAACTGCCCTGAAGTGAGAAAAAAAGTCACTAGCCTTCATTATGCTTCTGGAGTCTTTAGTACAAAGCGTCCTTTGTTGCTTAGCGCTGTTCTCAACGATATACATGGCTGGTCCAGTAGTGTATAGCAGTTTTCTCAAATGTTATGCTAACTAATCAGAGACAAAAGAGAATAAAAAAGTAGATAGTACGCAAAGAAGACGTCAAGTATTCTATAATTTTCATTCTGAGTTGTGCATTACTTTAGTTAGCACACATCTCAACCCATATTGCCCAGTGTCTTACATGTAGGACTCTAAAACTTTTCAGTTTAAATCGAAAGTTTCTTCTGTAAAAAAGGTAACGCCACCTAAGCTGTGTTTATGATGCCCTGTCCTCGTCATATGCAAGTCTAGGTGATCGCGGGGCTACAAATAGCAACATGTTTGCAGTCACAAATTGGCTATTTCGCGTGCATATAGCTGAACGACATACCGCGAAAAAAAGTAATACAGAGTCAAATTGTTCTCGATGCTGCTGATATATTTGTCGATTGTGCGTCAGTTATTGGGTGTGCAGTAACTTTCATATGACAGTGATAGCTACTAGCGTTTTCCGTTCGTGGTGTGTCGAATATTGGCGTCCTACATATAGGACGGCTTTCAAAGCATTAATTGAAAAAGTGTTTTTTTTTTAAAAAAACGCTTTACTTTCTTTTCTGAGGTCGTTGAAGCAATATTTTCGAGGAAGTAAATTAGTTTTGTTATTTTTCCTAAGTTTGGGCATATACGGGTTAAGAATAATGAGCATCATCCCACCCACTAACACTTAAAATACAACAAGGATGAACAACTGAAGAAACGGCGGATGTTTTTCATCTGAACAATCAGTGATACTACCATATATATACAATAGAATCAAGGCCGACGAAGATTCAGTCCAGATTAGAGAAGGTGCAGTGTGTTGTAGATGCTTTTTCCAGTTCAGGCGTTACGGCACGGGTGCTCGTCTCACAGTTTTCCAAAAAGTGTCACATTCAGTGGTGGCTAATGAAAAGTATTGAGCTTATACAAACGCACCACACTCGGGCTTAATCTCAAAAGTAGTTTCGACACTGTAGAAAGAGAAGAAGATGGGATGGCGGCCAACGTGGTCACGTTGTTCTCTCACCACTTTATTATCAAAGGCGATTTGCCGAAGTGGAGCGACAGCGGCTGCAGCGTCCAAACCACCAGGTGCGTGAGCTCGATCTCCACAGCTCGCGCCTCGAGCTGCCGCATGAGCTGCACGAGAGGCGCAACGCCGTGGCTAGAAAAATGACGATAATGATAAATGGCGATGATAGTGACGCTACAGATTACTACCCCCCGCAGAAATGAAGCCGGAATAAAAACAATGAGAGCGTATATACAAGCGAGTGAGGTTCGCGAAACGAAATGGGGTCCGTGAGCAGTCCCGGTCGTCAACGGGAAGAGGACAATCGGGAACCAGTGGGTCTCTGGCGGGCGACACTGGGAGAAACGCAGCAGGCAAAGATGAAAGCGCCAGGTTGCTGTAGCCATAAACACGTGCGTCCCACGATGACTTGGCGGTATCACTCGAGAGCGCACCCGGTGCTTCGAAAATGCGTGGCTGACAAGGGCACCCACAGGTGGAGCCATGGGAGGGTGCCGAAATGGCCGAGCCGGTGATGGTGGCGAGATGGTGCTGTGCATTGAAGTGGAACCACGACGATCCGAATACTGAAATATAAAGGATGCGGCGGCGTCTCCAACAGCGCACATGGCGCCGACATTGCTGTTGACAAGGAGCAGTGGGCGGGCAGTACTGGTTCAGACGTAGCCGTCGATGGAACACCGACCTGAGCGTTGCAGTGTGGCTGACATGCCGGTGCGGGTGACCAAGTCGACAGGCGTGGAAACGCCAGTGGTTGAAATGGCACACGGAAGTCACTGCAGGCAGTGAGGTCCACTGTGACTGGCCTGCCAGTGTACCGCGCAAAGGCGGTAGTCGCCTGGGTCGTGATGAGGGATCATGTCTAAATTCAAGGTACATTGTTGCGTTGTGGTGTCGCCCTTCCAAGGCTCCGGAGGTTAGTCATGACATCCGGAAGGCACGAGCTCTACCGCAGAGTTGACTAGCGCACCCGTGCTCAGTCGGGGAAGCCTGGTGGATGTGCACCTGTGTGGTTGGTATGGAGTGTGCTGACTGTTCTGCCATTGGCAAATCTGTCATCTGGTCCTTGGCCATTGTAGCAGCATCTCAGAAGTTCCGTCGTAGCATGTCGTGGGCAGGGAACTTCAGCTGCGGGTGACGTCAAGGTAAATGGTAGTGGCTGCTTGCAGGAATGCGCAGATTGCCAAGGTTGATGGAAGATCATGTTCATTGGATAATGACGACTGTGGAAGCTCCGGGATTGGGTGTCGAATAATGGGTGAAAATATCTCAGGCCCAGACTCCGAGGCGCGCGTGGAGTCTGGGGCGCTAAGGTGTCGTTGCCGTTGATGTCACGGAAATCGTGCATGTGGCAGGCACCTGCGATGAACCTTTGTACGTGGGCGCCAACGGAACGCAGCTTTCGGTGGTGAAGCTAGGGGAAGTGCCAGCGTCTTCTACCATGTCGTCGTAGTCGGATGCAGGATTCAATGTTCCTATGACTGGATCTGAGGTAGAGGTAGTCGTAGCCGGAGTGGTGAGGTCATGGTCATTAGAGGGTTGCGTACTGGCTGGTAGCACGCGTTGCGACGCAGTGACAACCCCAAAGTCGCGGACCATGGAAGCGGTCGGCACGTGAGGCCGTAGCAGGTGAGCAGCGCTGTGCAGAGGGTGTCATGTGGCTGCGGCCTCGTGATCGATGTGGTAGTAGGATGACGAAACTCGACGGGCAGAGCGTCGAGCAAGATGGCGTGCATAAGCCACTGGTACGCAACGCCATTCACAGCGAGAACAGCGTCGAGCCCCATGAGCCATGCCTGCGGTAAGGCCGGGTGAAATGGTGGCACTGGCGGGCAGAGTGGCGGAAGCACAGCAGCTGGTAGCTCGCCGAAGGGCGTGTCCTTCAGGTCACCAATGTAGCAAGAGAGGAAAATGGGACGGCGGCCAACGTGGTCGTGTCGTTCTCTCGCCACTTTATTGTTAAAGGCGATTTGCCCAAGCGGAGCCGCAGCCGCTGCAGTGTCCTAACCACCAGGCGCGTGAGCTCGATCTCCACAGCTCGCGACTCGAGCTGTCGCAGGAGCTGCACGCGAGGCGCGGCGTGGTGGCTAGAATAATGACGATGATGATGAATGGCAATGATGATGACGCTACAACACTGTGAGGCTGTCACAAACGAGAGCTCAAAACAGGGCGGGCCGCCGAATTCAGCGACCAAGCGGCAGTGAGGCACCCCAAGGTCATCGATATAGAAGAAAACAAGCCCCCCCCCCCCTCAAAAAGCGTAATTTCGCCAACCAACCTCCTCACATCGGCGGCTGAGCAAGCCCTGGGAGGTTCTCGAGGGAAAGGGGCGTGGTGATGCAGAGTGGCGTCACGTGTCACGGACGGCCCTCGAAACGTCTCGCTCTTTCCCCAGCCTTGGCCGTGTATCGCACCGACGAAACGATGAGAATTTTCTGGAATCTAGCGCGGGTGGTATTTAACCGAGCAGCGGAGAAGGGAGATCAGGAAAAGATGAAAGTATGAGTCCAGAGTGCGTAGGGTGTTTCCGCCGTGTCGTCGGCGAAGGTTTTGCCCTTAGCGACAAAGCAGGTGATGAAGAGGATTTTTACCTGAGGGGTGAAGACTCGTGCTAGAGGCGGAAGAGTGGAAAACTACCACCAGTGAGCGAAGACCCGTCCTGCAGTCGCAACGCGTGGGAAGCCGACGTGTTACCAGGGAAGTTGGTGCTTGGAGAGCGGCCAATTGAAGAGGCGAGGGTTCCTGGAAGAGAAACTTCGGGGGCAGCGGAACGACAACAGCGCTGGACTTGAGTGAGTGATTTTAGGAAAAGTATCATTCAGACTTTTGTTCCAGGGACTTTAGACTGAATAAGTTTTCGAAATCTTTAGTGTTTAAATGTCTTGGTTGTTCGATGCATGCGATTGTTGCATTGTAGTGCGTATTGTTGTTTGTGTCCGTTGTTTCAACTGTGGCTGATTGTACTTTGCAGTATGTTGTTTGATTAGGTGACATATCGTATTCAACAATTGTCGAGTGTGCATATCTGTGTATCGTTTTGATCTGCCATAACTGAGAATATAATTTTGTTTTGTTTATCAACTCTCGGCTCTAACTTGTTCTTTGGGCCACAGTCGGCGTCTGCTGGTGCGCCAAATAGGACCACTTCTAAATTGTCCACGCTTTTCTGGTGCAGTTCGGGGGGCCGATACTTCGGTCCATTGGAATTAGCCAGGCGATCGCATCCCTAATTAACGGGACCTGTGACAATTATTCTGGCGTCCGCGACAGGACCTTTTGGTGCACAGTGTGTCCAAATAGTGAGAAACGGCCTTGAGTCATAGATAGTGCTATCGGAACATTTTTTGTGCACGGCTCAGTGTTCTTGTTAACGAGTGTGCAGAGAGTGTTTCGTTAGACTGATTTAGGCAGATAGTTTTTGCACACGGCAAGGTTTTATTTGCGAGACACCATGGATCTCGAAAAGTTAGTCGCTCTTGTGAGAAGATGGGTCTGTCTGGCGCTGAACTACGGAAGTGGGTCACCAAGAAGGAAAAAGAGGAAAAAGGAGGGCCAAATAAGAAAAGGCAGCTGAGATGGAAAAAAGATTTGGCGGTCCAAAGAGCCAAAGCGGAAAAAGCAGCTGAGTTGGAGAGACAAAGGCTGGCCGCTGAAAGGGCGAATTAAGAAAGACATGCATAGGAGCGACAGCTGGAAGAAGAAAGAGAGGAAAGAGAATGGCAGCGACCGCACGAGATGGAACTCGAGTGGCTTCCTTTGCAGCAGCGAAGCGAAA